AAATTCTTAAATAAGGAAATGAAAATAGTCTTCGATTATTTCAAATGTATCCACAATTAACAACACCACTTTTTATTCATTTATTATCATAATATGAACGTTATGGAATAGTTAACGATAAAAAACGTTTATCATAAATCTTTATCAATTAATGACAGAAAAAATTTTTGATGAATTTTTATTTTTATTTAAAAGAACAAGTTCAGATGTTAATCAACGTGTAGAAAATTATTCACTTCTTTTTCAATGTGCTATATCAACAAACGAACAATATGTTAAAAAAGTTCGGGAATGGATTGAAAAAAGATTTACTAATGAACAATTAATTGTTATTGAATATTTCTTAGATCAATTAAAGTCATCTAACATGCGATTTAATTTAGAAATTTTACCAAATAATATTGATTCAATTCAAACTATTATTGATATTGCTATTAATCGTTTACCACAATCAACAAATGCTTTAGAAATTATTTTTTCTTATGGAATATATTTACTTCAATCTGTTGAACATCATCGAAATAAACAACAAAAACATATAATTCAACAATTCGCGAAGAAAATTATCAAATAGTAAGAATATTTTATTTTTAATAAATCAATCATAAAACAAATCCTTGCAAACAAAAATATGTGAGATCATTATTTTAAATGTGTACTTATCACTAATTAGTCATGTCGAGATAATAAAAATTATCAAGATGATCATTCTCGATAGATCTCTAGCTATCTGATGTCATACATTTATTGACATAACCGCCTATATACTATGCGATTAAATATCAATCAGAAGATAGTCGACTGCCTAAGTATAAAACTACCGATGGTTTTTGTCCCGTTTGAATAAGAGATCATCCGTTAAGAAAGTTCAGGTAAAAATCGCATTTTTTGACCTTTCGCTCTATCCAGTTTCATCGACCCTCTCTTCCCTTCTGGACATCTAGTGTAAAAAGAAAACTTTCAGAAAAGGGCGCGTATACGGTTGGGTGGGGTGTAGACAAAACACATTTTTGATAAGCAACAAACAAAGATCTAACCTATTATTAATTTTTTGTTTTCTGAATACATTTAATATTAATGCATAAAAAACAAAAATAAAAAATAAAATTCAATATTAATAACACTCGCAAATATTACAACATTCATATTACTGCTCGAGAAAATGATTGGCTTCCTCATGTAGCATAAACTTCAATAGTTTAGAGGCCATATTCAACTTATTAATTCAATCAATTTCCTATTTAAGATTGATCTTGAAAATGAACTAATTTTAAAATACCGTGAAACGTTGTATGAAAAAAAGGAAAATATTCATAGCAACCATCTGAACGTCCAGAAATGTTTGAAACTCTCCCTCCTTCCATTCTCTGAACGTTCTTAATGGATGATCCCTTATATTGGATTACAGTGTATGTTTTATCTTCGGGAATTTTCTCATCAAATTATAATCATATTAAAAAAAAAACTTTCTTTTGATTTTGAAAAACGAAAATTTAGTTTTCTTTTAAATATTCTCTATTGAATATAAATCATGAGCTATTTGATTTAGAGAGAATCAAGAGAATTGAATATTTTGAAGTTTTTCATAAGATTGTATTGGGGTGTGGGTGTGAGTATGGCTCGATTTTTACCGATCATTGTCACTCCCACCGACAATGACACTCACAACCAGACGCACACCCCACACCCACACCCATACACCCACACTCACCACAACCCACACACCCACATCCACCCCAACCCACACCCTCATTCCCACACCCACAACCACACACCCACACTCACACCCACCCGAACCCGCAAACCCACACTCTAATTGCTATATTTCATCTACATTCGAATATACGCATCGAAATATAATTGTACAAGTCCACTGTTTGAATCATTTTTAGTTAAAATAAAATTTGAAAAGACTAAAAATAAAACCTAAGGAAAGAAATAAAGTAGTTCATGCATCACAAGAGTTCAATAATGAACCTTCGGTAGATTTTGGTACGCTTCGTGTTGCCCATACTTGTATATCGTCAATGTAGCCAAATGTTTCTAGTGTTCCATTTTTAATGAATAATCTTTCAAAATTTACATAAATATCAAAGAAATATACATTTGACGGTGCAAAGAACTGGCGAACACATGTTTTAACTGAAGCTCCGTTTCCTATTTAAATAATAGTACTACAAAAGATTTGAGTGAAAAATAAAAATAACTTACGAAGAATATTTTTGGAATCGGCTAGTAAGACTTCACCGGATGTTTTCATCAAAAGATCAACTGAAACCCATTCAGTACCCACTTTGTTAACACCCATTCGAGCACTAATAAAAAATGTGAGAATCTTAGCATTGATCCATTCAGCATATTGATGTAATTCAACACGCTGATACATTGAAACACGATCGTATTCATCACTAAATGCCGTGAAATAACATTGATTGGGCTCAATAACAGTTTTATCGGGAACGAAGACATTTGGAAAACTTGTTGAATTGTAGACTATGGCAATGACATGACGATCTATAAGTTGAATGAAAATGAACTTATATTGATTTCTCTTAAATTTTTAGTTCAATATTGCAAACTAAGTCGTTATCTTCAGCTACTCTATCGATAGATTGAAGTTTTATTTGACAAATTTAAAAGACAAATACGCATATCTTAAAATATTTTTTCTATTTACTCTCATTCATACTATAAACTCTGAGGACTTCTACAATTTTACAACGGATCGAATTTTCAGAGGATAATTAGTTGTATTGTAGAGAAAAATAAAATACTTGAAGTACACTTTTTTGTCAAATTTTCCAAATTTTTATAGCTTTCCCATTTGTATGTCATGTATTGAAAGATAAGTTTTATAAATATTCATGAAAATTTTCAAAAACAAATTAATTCTAGTAAAAATACTGTAATTTATGATTTTGAAATTAAAAAAGCTATAAATGTTGTCGCATAATGTATAACAATCCGATAAAATCTAATTATTCATCGCCAGACTTATGATGAATTGCAGAATAGATGCATTTACACGTGAGCCTGACTTTTACTTCTTAGAAAACTATATGAATTATCATATTTACATAACCTTTTGATTATAAAAAAAATGGTTTCATTACATATATCTACCCGAGTCTTTTTCGAATGTTTCTGAGTTATGTCTATCTCATAAATTTAACCTTACGAAAATCAATAGGTTAATTTTCATTTGATTGAATTTAAGTCAAATCCACTTAGATCTTGATTTTAATTTTTATTAAGCTCATTCTCTTCAGTATATCTATGATTTATCCTAAAGCTTATTCTGTTCATTGAGTTAATTTGATAAGAAGCCGTTATCTTCATGACTGCAATACATATAAAATCGAAGCTCAAAGTTCTAAGCATCAAGAGTGAAACTAATTCGTTCCTTTGTTATTTCTACTTTTAATCAATTGCATAGGATTATTTTTTCATAACCAATAAATTTTCATGTTTTTTATTCTCAACACATTGCTGTCTGTTTAGATAGGAAGATCGATATTTCTGATTATCGATGGCGTATAATTTGCGAAAATATGTATTTTGTTCAGAAAGAATAACTCCGCAGATTTTAGACAGAAGCTTTTTTCAGGGAATAGAGGAAAAAAAATTGAAATTTTGTTATTAACAGAAGTTTTCCCTTCAAGGTTTTCATCTTTCTTATAAGCATCTCCAATGCAGTATCAATATCATGTGGGTTTTTGTGAAAGCATTAATCGTAAAAATAACTTACTTTTCACGCTATTCCAAAGCGACGCAAAAATAGGGCTTGTTAATTTGACTGTACAATCGTATTGTCCCTTCTTCTGTTCGGCATTCCCATTAGAAATTATATTCTTATGATCACCAGTATTGAAATTGGGCAATATCGATCCTTCAAATGCTACCGCTTCTTGTAGTTGCAACTGGGTAATAGTCGAGTTTTCCAGATTAGCCCTATAGAAATCGGCGTTAAGTACAGAAGCACCTTCAAAGTCCGCATACTGGAGATGTGCATCATGAAAAGTAGCTTGATTTAAACTGGCAAATCGAAATGAGGCTCCATGTGCATCAATTTCGTTCATATTGAGTTTAACTGATGATATACGACTAAAATCAGCATATTCTGCTTGTGCCCCATAAAACTTAGTGCCGACGCTCATTTTAGCCTCACTGAAATTAGTACTGGTGAGAAGACTATTGCTGAAATCAGCAAAACTTAGATTAGCACGAATGAGTAGAGCATGACGCATGTGCACTGATTTCAGAGAAATAGAGTCAAGATTGAGAAAGGAAAGATCAATACCATCCAAATCAGCATCAGTTAGATCTAACGGGTTTTTATAAGTGATAATTAATTCTGACTCGTATAAAAACCGAATGAGATGTACCTTTCGATGAGAGTCAAGTTGACGAAGGACAGAAAGCGTTTTAGGTCGTACAATGCTGACTCGAACATGGTCGTTGAGAGTGAACTTGTTTTTGTCAAGTAGATCAGCCATTTCTTTCAAATAGCCCACAAGAACTGATTCTTTTTGAAGATTGTCAGCTAATGAAAGGTCGTGTTTGTGTTGACGATCAGCGGCCAGTGCTTGAACAATGGAAATATTGAGTTCCTGTTCTCGGCGAAGTTCGGCAATTTCTAGATCTTGTTTTCGTAAGAGCTATGCCAATAAAAAAATGATTTCTTATTACGGAAATAATTAACTCTTCTATGGATAACTAAATAATTACTATCGGATACTGATGAAAACTATTTGTCAATTCAAAATAAAAGACAAGTTGTTTTTTTTTTGAATAATGCTTTCATAGGAACAAGATAAAGACTTGTGATTTTTGCCTTTGAAAAGATCATTCTCCCAGCAGCAATTCTATATCAGATTCAAATTGTTACTCCACATTTTCTAAAACAGTGCAATTTTTACAATTTACATTGTACATAATTTGTTTATGAATAAGTTTGAATCTCCGAAATATCTTCTATAGAACACAGAAGCCGTATATTTCTATCTTGTATTTATACAAATTTATTCAAAAAAATGGTAACTCACCTCATATTATTGAATCTGACAATAAATAGAGCTTTATTTCGGAAATCATCTAAGACTTTACTCATTCTAGAAAAGAATCCTGATAGACATTGTTGTCATCAAATAGATTTAAAAGATTTTAAGAATTTTCGATTCAAATATATATTATCTGCAAGTTTTGAAACGACCGAACTCACTTCGGCCTGTTTTCGATCTTCAGCTCGCTGTTGTTGAGCTAATTCAATATCATGAGCTCGTTGTTGATGTGCAATGTCGAGATCTTGTCCTCGTTGGAGCTGAGCAATGCGCTGTTGATAGATAGTGATAACAACGGTAAACAAGCCAAAAATCAGAGGAATCAAAACAGTAGAACATATTGCGATTAAATCTCTAACAGTTAAACCACAACAACAGTGTCGTTCGTTTCGTTCTCGAGCTGTTGACCGCATGCGCATTGCTGGCAGAGTATAGGCATCTAGGGCAATCGCTTCACTGGCTACATGAGGCATTTTTAAGAGAAGACTAAATGAAAGTTCTATTTACAACAAGCAGTCTAGAATTATATTTGTCGACTGTCATTGGTATCTATTAACAAATACTCGTGATTAGGGTGTCAATCAAACATTTGTACAAAGCTTGATATCTGTTGACAGTTTTGACAGATTTACATTTAATATGTTCATGAAATACGTTGACAGATTGTTGCCAAGGGGGAACACACTGATTACTTGATTACCAGTGATTACTAGTGATTACAAATTGATTACTGCTGATTTCTGGTGACTTTTCGTACTTTCCAGCAACTTCAGTTTTTCTCTGTATCATTTATAGATTTCTTTTGATTCAATTGCTATCATCATACTTTAACGTTCAAATTAAAAATAGGTTAAATCAGAATGAAACTAGACTGTGCAACCTTTAATAATCTCTTATTCGTTATGAAAATAGAAATAGTTGAAGATAAAAGCTACGTTAATGAGTTTTGAATCGTAACAATCGATCTGCAGACAATGAACATTTTCCCATTTTCAAAAGACAACAGGCTGTTTGCTGGAGAAGTTACTTTTTCGTGTTGTTGATAGCAGTTTCGAAGTGCGTTTGAGTCAGTGATTCTTTCACATTGTCGGCCAAACGCAGTTCCGGATAAGTAGATTTATTGATATTACTGACAGTAAGCAGGTTTTCCTCAGCTTCTTCAATACTACTGTCACTATCAGTATCACTGTCGGCCACATGGTTGTTTATTGCATCATCAGATTCGAAGTCTGACTCATCTGCAGTTGTACTATCTGTGTTATCTAACTCGTTCAACTTTGATTGTTCGAGTTGACAGGCAAAGTTGCTGCTTAGCTCCTGGACAGATATCATTTGTCCATTTCGTAAAAAGTGTTTGATTTTCAATGGCGTTAAAAATTTGATGACGTATTTATAGGGATTAAGCATACTTTGCTGAATCCGGCCTTTCGAAGACTAGTTGTGCTTGATGAGGTTGATATATTTCTGGGCGGTTCAACAATTTGTGGTGCTGAAGAAAACGTAAACCATTTTGAGTTACGTTAACCTTAATATTCTATAGCATGGATAATTTGTTGACTGTAATTAAGAATTGTGCAATAGTAAAGTTCACTTCTAGGTGTGAATGGTGTGGATGTGGGTGTGCGGTGTGAGTATGGGTATAGCTGGGTGTGGGTGGCTGTGGGTGTGGGTGTGGTATGGGTGTCAGTGGATGTGCGTATGACTATTTGTGCAGTTATTCTCTACATCTACACCCACATCATACACAAGCAAGCAGACATGTCGATTTTTGTACTGATTTTCGATACAAAAGGAGCAAACTTTCAGATTTTTGGGCTATCTAAATTTAACACCAAGTTTCGCATGAAATTTCATTTTGGTATGCAATTTTTTAGCTAAACTTCAAGGTTTTGAGCTATTTTTGCGCTTCTCTTATTTGTTAAAAACTATTTTGCATAAAATTTGACTCAAAACCTAAAATTTAGCTGAAAACGTAAATGAAAAATTGAGATTTCGTGCGAAAATTGGTGATAAATTTAGGTAGTTCAAAAATCTGAAAGTTTGTTCCTTTTGTACAGAAAATTTGTACAAAACCGACATGCTTGTCAGCACGGGTAGTAAAATGTAAGTGTGGATTTGTGTGCTGCCATGATCTTTATAGATGATCAATTACACTTCATTCTTAGTCTAAAAAGGAGGGAAGTATCGAAAAGATGATATTATTTGATGTTAACAAAAGGAAATCAATATAGAATATGTGATTTTAAATCTCTTTACCGTCAGAATATTTTTTAGAGTACTCCACATAAGTCTCCAGCCCTTCTGAACTTTTCAATGAGAACAAACAATTGAATACTTTTATGTATTCTTTAAGTTTATTTCATGTTCTGATTATCAATACATAATGAAGTCGCCTTTGTTAGAAATAACATTAAAAATACGATTTTTCATACTTCTCACAAGATCCGTTGTTAGATCTCGTGGAAAGGCTTTCCATTCTTTTTTTTATCACCAAAACTGATGACTTGTAAGTTCGAAGACTTTTCTTTGTCAAATTTATTTTGGAAAGCTTTCAAAAGTTTTCGATCGGTTTCAGGTCTCGTGACATTGATGGCCAATCGATTTGTTGGACTCCATACTGCACTCTCCAATGTTTTGCAAGTGGAGATATATGCTTTGGATTATTATCTTCTTTTAAATCCCAGTTTGTTGAATTTCGTCCAAAGTGCCCCGTGGCAATCGACAATAGATAACGCTTATAAATCCTACAAAGCAAGTCAGCCTTGAGGTTTTCACGAAAACAGTAAATACGACCAAACCCGTTGCATGAGAAGCATCCCACAATGTTCACATTTACTGGATGCTTTACTGTTCGAAAAACTTTTCTCTTTCCAGGAAAATTGTAGACACACCATTTCAGCTGGTTTAGACGTAAAGTGGTCTCATCTGGAAAAATTATTCGCTTCCAATCCATATTACATCTAGCTTGAGCCCGTCCGAGACGTTTCTGTTGATGTTTTTCTGTTAAAAGTGATTTTGACATTGGTAGACTAAACTTAGCCCCATATTCTTTCAATCGACGTCGACTTGTCTCCTGACTGATCTCTACATTTTGCTTCAGGACACGTTGTATGTCACGTGTTGTGGCAATATTGTCAGTGCTGGCAAGATCACTGATTCGTCGGTACACTTTTCCGTTATGCTACGAGGTCGTCCAGTACGCGTCGAATCACTTAGATCTTTAAATTCTTTCACTCTGTTGAACCAATATTATACAGTACTCTTTGCACACTTTTCTGCTTTCGCCAAGCTGTCATCCCATTGGATGATGAGATAAAAAGATGATTTCATATCGTCTGTTCACTGAAAGTGTCATTTCCTATTATTGATCTATAGAATAAACTTTAAAGCTCGAATCAAATTACATGAGCAGAAGGCTGTGTCTGTTGTCTATATATAGTGGTAGAACAAATATTCGAGAATATTCGAGAATTTTCTAGCGGACCACACACTTATGTGGAGTACTGTATATGTATTCATTGAAATAGTTAACTAGAAAATGAGTTCTTTATTTTATAAGAATGCGAAATACTGTCTTGGAGTGTTAATATTTCTCATGAATTAGTACTGAAACTACACTGTTATTAATGATAGTTATTTCATAAAGATATTGTACTTTTGAATTCTTTATAAACTGAACAGGATTGTTTGATTGAAATAAAACTCTCTGATTGCAAAAATGAACTAGTATTGTTTCAGGACAAGATTCGCATGAATTAATTTAACGATTACTTGATAAAACTAAGAAATGTTTTCATGGTGAAGGAAATCCATAATAAAAAATATTCTAAACATATATGTACTAAACAATTAGCACAACTTTAACTTGTTATGTATACGTATTTTATCAAGACCGGCGATAATAAAGCCTATAGTTTCGCTTGAATAAGTAGGTTTAGATACATATGCATAAGCGACTAATGGATATACGTATATCACAGCAAGCAGATCTTCTGCTATTTCATAATACGACTTTATAAACAAAGACTCAGCCGGACATAACAACAATAGAATACTAGCATGGCTAAATTATTAAGAGTTACCTTCTGGTTCGAAAGAATCTATAATGATAATATCGAATTCATTTTTATTATGTTTTAAATATTCAAATTCATCATCAACATGATTTGTCGCTTTTGGTGAAAAAATATCTCGGAACATTTCGAGAAAATATTTCGCACTGGCACCAGTTACATTCTATAAATCTTTATCACCGACATTTTATGTTCGAAAGTACATTTATGACTACCTAATCAATTTCCCGAAGAACACAACTATCACCTCTACCAATTATTACAACCAGAGGATAAATCAAAAAGATAATATTGAATGGGAAGCCAAATATTGTGCAACGAACTTGTTTTGGATTTGGATGACCAAACAAAGGAAGAAATGCAAACATTTCCTGATAGATAAACTCATCTTGTTCCATACATTGAATTCGTTTATTTAAGACAATTATATTGCCACGAACTGTACTAAAAAGAGTTGGATGTGAAATGTTAGGATATGGATAAAATAACACACATTGAAGCATTGTTTATTTGGATTAATCACAACGAACATCAAAGTTTACTTACCTGTACACTTACAGATGCTTGGAGGGAGAAAAGTAACACGTGGTAAATGACTCAGTTATCAGCGCACAACGAAATATTAGGCTAGTCAACTGTGACCTAATAACTTTTTTTCTATTTTTCCGTAGTTTATATATCAATGAATTATTCACTTTACTTTGAAAAGACTTTCCATATAGTTTTTCTTTGTTATTAACTTACAATCATATCATTATTCTGATAGTTTTATTCACTCAATTGAACAGGGTGTCATATGAAAAATCAAAGATTCGTGGCTATTGACTTGCACATGTTATGTAACTTGGACTAAGTATTTTAAATAACTTTCTTTCATACTGATTACTTGACCAATAGTTATTAATTTATTCAAAATAGTGGCGTAAATAATATTTAAAATAAATAATAGTATTTATATCAGTTGATTTTCGTCTTAGTCTTTATTACATATTTGAAAATCAATGGTTTTTGTATCGGTTTTGTGTCATGTTTGAAAAATGTGTCTGTTTGGTTGTTAAGGACTAATAGCTCGATGATACCCGTGATGATTTGAAACGAGAACGTAATTTATATGCCATTCCAACTAAAAGTGGAACTATATATTTAAGTACTACTAAAAGTCCACTAAATACATTTAACAACATTGTCAATGCATAAACAGGATTCATACGCTGTTGCTTCACGTAACTGCAGAATATTGGTGCACACACAGTGTAATATTGCTCATAAGACGTATCATTTGACCAAAAGTCAATGAATGCTCGATTGACGATAGTTTCAATTTGATCGTTAATGGCAAAATTTGAAACCGATGAGGAAAGCTGTAATGGCAAAATATCCATTATGCATGAATCCACTGCTTGATTTAGAGATCCAAGACAAGTAGCATTGATAAGATCTATAATGCAAGAATCTGAGAAGAAACAAGAAAGAGACGAATTTAAAATTGATTCAAGTAAGAAGCAGCCTATGAAAATATCGCTAATAGTATAGAATTTGTGAAGACTGTCATCGTAGAAACCTATTGGTTCCATGCATTTACTTGAAGTAGCACATGAACAAGTTCCATTATTGTACGTTTTCGGGAGGATAATAATGCGACCATTAGGAGCTATCCCTCCAAGCTTCATTTCTACGTTAGTTCCCAAAAATGAAATTAAACCGTTGCCTTGGGAAAAATCACGAAATACTTGTACTAGATAGATCCATTCACTTAATATTGATTGTTGTAATGATCTAAATTCAGAGTCCATATTTTTAAAAAATAGAACATCAGGCATAACTTCAATAGACAAAAAGAATTGCGAGTAATATTGATCAATAGAGTTCATCACTGCTAAGCGTGCTTGAGCACAAAAGACATTAAGGTAATTAAAAAATACTACACCCCATTTTCGAAAATCGACATTCGAATACTGCTGTACAGATAGACCGCTAAGTCCCTTGTAAGCTTGAAGCCAACTCTGTAATGCATCGTTTTCGCAAATGGGGTGAAATGTGACGTTGAGAGAAATAGTAAATTCTTTGTATGGTATGAATTTATTTGAGCAAGGGCATTGTAGAGTATCAGATTGAGTATTTTGTAGATTTGTATAAGTTGATAGAGAAGGAGTTGGAACTATTATAGTCGATAATCGTTTAACTATTCCAACGTAGAAGAAGACAAGAATCGTGAAACCAACCAAGGAAATGAGATAGAGGCGTGTCGACATAATTTCTTGTCTCTGAACAGAATTTATGCTAGAGTCTGATTCAAAGAGATTGAATGCAACTATATATTCTCGAATTCGACTGATGTATGAAGTCGTTTAGCCTAAAATTGAAGACGGCTAAAAGTGAGTCTCATTGTATGAATATCTTCATAGTATTCATAGAAGTCATTGAATAATTCATATGATAATTATATTGTATATTTCTATTAAATTTCAACTAAGTAAAATGATTAGTTTTACTGATCGAGACCAATTTCATATTTTTACTCATGAAGAGGATACTGAAAGTAACTGATAATTAATGTAGGAATGTTGCAGTTTTTGAATAATTTTATTATATTTGTCCACAACAATGTGATTCATTTAGAGTCATCACCGCAAATGAATCATTGTAGACGTATTACTTTACTTTTTCTTTTATAATTTAAAGTTCTGGTATCCTGCCATGCTTTAAATGACATTTATAGTGGGAACTTGACTGACATTCTAGCGATGTAAAATATTTCTAAGAATGATTTTCGATACTCCGGAAGGACCTCAATTTTTACAGTGTGGAGCGTTACTCATTTAGCAAAATGTTCTCGCATCTTTGTCAGCATCATAATGAATTCAGAACTTTCAGTTGTTTTTGTTATTTCTTCTACAAGATCAATAGCTTTGTCTAATTTCTGCTCTGTTCATAGAATTTTTTTGGAAATCCAGAGAAACAACGCGATTGCTTCGCAAAGGTAATAGTTCTTTTGAATGAAATATTCTTTTTCAGACAGTGTTGTAACTACTATCGAATTTTCCTGTAGAAACGGAGACTCTAAAGTCGGTGTATAAACTTCTTCTTTTTTTTATAAGACTTTTGAAACAATCTTGAGGATTATAATATTATTAATGACTTGAAATGTATAACAAATTTATGCGCTATCTTCAAAAACTAAGTATATTCAGTTACGTACTATTACAGTGAGTGTTTTGAATTATGGATGTTGATTGATTAGTAGAAAGATCTCGTGATCGAAGTCGTTTCCAAGCAATAAATATTAAGTGAACCAGCATTGGCACAATCAATCGAAGAAATTGACTTAAAACTGCATACATAGCTCCAATACTGGTTATCAAAAATATCAAGTCGAATCGTTGTTGAATATCATAGGTACAAAACAAAGGAGAGCATTTATTGTAATATTGATTGTAAGAAATTTTAACTGTTTGATTTTCAAGTAGAAGAGCATCCATCAATAGTTCCATTGTATCATTGATCATGAATTTACTTGAAATATGTATATCAAGGGGATTAATATCGATAAGATTGTCAACACCTATGTTAACATAATAATTGTGCACGACATCAAAACAAGAATCATCGAATCAACACCCCAATGATGCTGTGAGTACTGTTTCAGTCATCAAACATTTACTTTTTATAGCTTCGAATATGAAAGAATCGAATGCAGCAACAGGATAAAAAACATTTGCATATTCATAGCAATCAAAATTTTGTAATAAGCAAGAGCAAAAAAAGCCAATACGGAGAAAACCAAGCTGTAGTGATGGTACCACTATATCTATTCGACTACTGTCTGTTGACTCTAATTCTCTGTCTATCATTACTGTGCTAATAAATGCATTCGCATTTATCAGAGTTCGAGTGATTGACAAAGTGCGTTGAAATTCAGAAAGTGTTGAGTCAGTGAACTTATCAACCAGATCTTTCATTTTAATGTTAAAGATATTTTCTGACTGAATACGGTCATTGACTAATACGTTGGCATAAAACAATTGATAAGCATCTAGCATAGTTTTATTTGCTATTGAACAAAATATGAAGAGAGCTTTGAAATAGTATGCTCCGATCAAATTATCAAAAGAAGAATGCTCATAAATCGAAGAAGGTTGTACTTCCAATATACTGTTGAGCCATTCTGGAGAAATCAACTTACTTGAACATAATTGATGAAATGTCGGCACAATTTGAATAAAACTCGAGTATGGAACAGCAATTTGTGAGCACGGACAGTTAACATTATCGGAATACATTGCCCAGAGATGTCTATAGTCGTCTGGAGATGGACTATTTACGATGATAGTCTTTGTATGAGTACTGAAAATAAGATAGACATAGTACAGATAAACACTGACTACGATACATAAGAGAAATGCATAAGTTGTAATACGTTGTTTGCGTAATACGTTTGGATTTTGAGAAGTTGTTTTGAATAGATTAAGATTTCGAATAAAGTTTTGAACAACAGGAAGTAAAAATCGTAAAGTGACACACTCAACTGAAACAAATAAATGAGTTTCACATTCAGNAAATGAATTCTAAAAGAATTGGAACAGAAACAGAAGGCTGCCTAGAGAGAAATTTGAGAGAACCGTAAGAAGATCCCAATAAAAGTTGGCGTGGGTGTGGTGTGGTGTGGGTTTAATGCTTCTCTGCTTGCAGATCCATACTGAAGAAGAAAATAATTGAGTTTTGACGAAATATTTGGTCGACAAAAATTTGTCGCCGAAATCATTTTCAACTAAAGTGTCGTCCGATGAAAAACATAGGATTCCCATGGCAACACTGTGATGTCACTCGAACTATCGATATACTAAATTAAAATCAGGACATGGGAGACAAAACAAGAATCAAACTGTGAGACTTAAAAACAATGTTCAACGTTAAATGAATAGGATAATGATAGATATTACAGAGATGGACAGGGGAGCTAAGAAGTGGGCCCGCCAACGAGTTTTAAAGGCTAACTTTTCGACAAATTTTCGGTAGTCCATGTTAAATGCAAACCGTCTCCAATGTTGATGCATTTTGCTATTTGGTTCGTTTCTAACTTGATTAAAAGACCTGTCATGAGTATCATTTGTACGACAGGAAAATTTTTTGGTGAATGTCAAAGTACATGGGAGGATATTTCTTCCAGACCAGAATAGGAAAAGTTGGATTTTACCATGCTGGTTGGTACCGAGGCTATCACAATAGCTCAAACTTATTATTTCAGGTTTGATTCATTTTTAAGTTTGTTTCTAATTGCATGCTCTACTGTATAATGTTTAAGATCATTATGCATTCACTCGTCAGCATGGCATCGTTCATCATCGCTTTATGAAAAAACAACTACGATGATTTACGAAGACGAACAAATTGCTAACTATGAATCCTCTAAAGCAGAACGTTCTTTTTCGCATTCAGATTCGGTCTTGAACACAGTTATTTGCAGTTTCTCAATAAAAGGAAATAGAAGAAAATCGAATGAGAAATTTTTAGAGTTGACTGTGATAATCTCCATCCAGTGAAGTAAATAACTGAAAATTTGAATCGCAGCATACATCCGAAAAAAAAATTAATATTTAGAAACGCTGGAACTCGACATTGATCCATTTCAAGGTGTTTTCATAATTGTTCACATACCTTAAGTAGCGCTTGAGAAATGATCTAAATAATAGCCTATCTAGTCGGATCGGATAGTAGACTAAGTTGAGATATAACTGTTGGATTCGAACTCCGAATTGCAGTTCGGGTTCACTGCATAGAAATCGTATAGGGTACCCCAAAATTAGAGCGTACCCTAGTGAGTTTCTTAAATAGAATTTATCCATTTTTTAAAAATGACCTTATTATGTGAGCTACTTAAAATCACAGGAATATATTTTGACAACATCGATGGGTTGTCTTATGATTTTGAGATAACCTGTACACTGTTTAAGCTTTGCTTCCAATGCCTGTGTATATGACTCTATTGTATATTATATTATAAAGCTTTATTTTAAGGCTATGCGCGAACTTCGCTCCTGCAGCCGATAAAGAAAACCATTTTTATCAAGTATATACGACATAGTTAACTAGGTTAGAAATGAAATATTTTTAAAAAAATCGAGAGAGAAATCACTTTAAAAATGCCAAAAGAATAGTTTGAGAGATAGATAGAGTAGAGAGTAAAAGAAAGATAAAGACAATTAAAAACGTCTGCCAGCTTGATCAATTCGTTGTAGAGTTTAGTAATTGTAGGTGATTGCAAGATTCTTTTAATTTTGTGAGAAACAGAGAACATGATCAAATAATGTTACTCGGTTTTGTTTTATTCTGTTGATGACATTTTTTGGAATTCTTCCACGTTCGAAAATTTCTCTTCTTTGTTCCACCAGGGATGGATTCGTCAGATACTCGTTGAGGAAAATGATTGACAATTTGTGTTGCAGAAAATCTTCGATGATGCTAGGGTTCGTTTCTAGTATTGTACATGTTAGTTTGTTCAAGTGGATGCGAGATAGTTCTTCAATCGATTGATATTTTGGTAAATGCTCTATCTCAATATTTCTAGCATCATACCAATTGTGTATAATTCTGTACATCTGTCTATGTAATCCTTCGAGTTGTTTCTTTTTATCTTTTGCTAGTAGTGGATGAATGTTCAAGATCGATTGTAGATGTGGTCGGATGAATGCATTGTAGAGACAATAATTGACTCTTTCGCTCATCATACGACTACTTGCTAATCTTTTGAATACATTCAGGTTAGTTCGTATCTTTGATTTGATGTACTCGATGTGCGCTGTGAAAGATAGCTTAGCATCAAGAATTGTTCCAAGATACTTGATTTGATTCACATGTTCAATCTTGTGTCCTCGGCATTTGATTGTAGGTATATTAGGATTTCCTTGACGATTGAAAAGTGTCCAATAGGTTTTTTCAAAATTAATTGGTTGCTTCCACTTGATTGAGTATTCTATCAGACGTCTTAGTATTTGTACTAGTTGTCTCCTAAGTGATTTGATCATCTTCTTAGATGACAACGCTGCTGATGGTCCAATCAATACCGCCAAATCGTCAGCAAATAAGTGCTTCCAATGGATAGTTGACAGTTGTTCGAGTAAATCATGATGGTAGACAATGAATAGTACAGGACCGATACAACTACCTTGTGGAACACCTTTTGAGAGTTCAAACGTAGGTGAAGTTGTACTTTTTATATCAATATACGCTTTTCTACCACATAAGTAATGCTTCAACCATGCTATTATATATAGTGGACAATGTAACCTAGTTAGTTTCAACCATAAACCATTAAACCATAATTGGTTGAACGCTGAACTAAAGTCTACGAAAAGTGCAGCTGCAGCTGTATTTATTGATAAACTTTGTCCAATTTGATCGATCATAGATACCAAGCGCACGGACATGTTGTGCTTTGGTCTAAACCCGGTTTGTTCAGGTGGAAGTATTGCAAAATCATCTATCCATCTGCGAAAATGGATCAGAAAAATTTTTTCAAAAAGCTTGGAAAAGCAGGGTAATAAAGAGATAGGTCTTGTTTTATCAATAGATGTGGTCTTGGATTTTGTTTTGGATAATAATATCATTTTTGCAATATGCCAGTGTGAAGGTGTTTGCAAACTGGTAGCAAAATTGTTCATACATGCAAGGACTATCGATAGATGATTTGGTGGAAGTAACTTGATAATTCTATTTGAAACCCCATCTATACCAGACGAATTTTTCTTTTTCATTGATGCAACAACTCTACATAATTGCTGGTAATTTATATTCATTGGATTAGAAGGAATGTTAATCAAGATTTCATTGAGTTCTTTCTCATTTATCCTTGCTTCAATATCAATATCTGTTTGTGTATGTTGATGATCAGCAAATTGTTCTTCATAATAATCCTTTGCAATAGCACACATTTCTTCTGGTGTAGAAACCGTGCTGTTGTTAATGACAAAACCTTCAACTGGTGCAGATTTTGAGTGGAAATGTCGTTTTGCTTTCTGCCAAAAAGATTTTGTATCACAATCATTGAATGATCCACAATAATCAAGCCATAATTTTCTTTTATATTGAAAAAGTGTTTTTTGTAGGCGTTTCGTTGTGTCTCTTAACATCATTGCATAGTAAGGATGATAAGTTCGTCGAAACAATTTCAAGTACAGACGTTTTTCATTAGTTAAGTTAACTATATGTTGTGGTAATGTTGGTTTAAATGTCTTCCTGAATGTAACATTGGTGAAACGTGATATACTTAACGACAAAAACCTTTCGTAAAGTGTGAAGAAAGCGGTTGAATGAGTCATATCCTCTGCAAGTTTGTTCCAATAGCTACCGGTAAAAGTAAGAAATACTTCGAATAGCTTCCAATGTGTTCGTTTGATTGGATACGTTTGATGTGCAGTAAATATTTTAATTGTGGAGCACCAAATAACTAGATGATGATCATTACCAATAGACGGCAAAACTGAAAAAGAATTCGATGACATATGCGACGGTGTAATAATTAGATCAATCGTTGCGTTTGAGCGAGTTGACGTTGGTATAAATTTATTAATGATATCCATTGTTGAACGTGTTTGTAATGAAGATAACCAATTAAATAATGTTTTTCCTTTTGGATTTTCTATCGAGCGAGACCAAGAATTATGTTTTGCGTTGAAATCTCCGGTGATGATTGTATTTTCATTTATTTGTAGTATTCGATCAAAAATCTTAAAAGGAATTTGTTCATGTGGTGGTGAGTAACATGTGACTAGTTGAAATTTGTTGTTGTCCAATCCTATTTCTAGTGCAATCAAATTTGGTATATTGTCAAAACCAACTATTCTTTGAGTATGAATTGATTTATGTACAGCAACTAGAACACCACCAAATAAGTTTGTACCATTGATAGAGAAGATATTATAATTAAAGAAGTGTTTCGTAAATTGTTTAATCGATTCTTCGTCATGATGTGTTCCATTTATTGTAATGATGGGCGGGGAAGTAGAATCAATAAGATTGAATATCTCTATCATATAACGATTCAAGCTGGAAACATTTACTAATAGTATTGAAATATTGTCTTTTCTATTTAACATTGATAAAGTTTTATTACGATAGTTTGACCATTTGTCTAACAAAAGATTAAGTGTTGGAGTATTAGTCCATTCTTCAAAAATCATTTTAAAAGTGTTTTCTTCGTGTTTTGTAAGTTGATCGACATTGACAATAAATGGTTTCTTTTGTTTTGGTTTAAATTTAGGTGCTGATGGATTCATTTGAGGTTGACCTGGATAGAATAGGTTTTGCATTTTGTTTTATATCATGTGATTCGACTATTTCTTCATATTGTTGTTTGAATTTCATAAAAATTGGACGTAATTTTTCTTGTTCAGTTTGCTTTTTTGCTCCTAAAAATGCTTCACCTAAGTTAAAAATATAAGGACATACTTTGTCAATAATAAATTCCTTGAGTGAGGCAAGGTCCTTTTGCCATGAGTTAATTAATCGAAATGCCTTTGTAATACTCGCGTTTATATTTGTTTGTTCATTTGTAATTTGTTCCATTTTATTCATGATCTGGTCCAATTTCTTATTGATATCGGATAATGCATCTGGATATTCATTTAATGTTACATTATGAACTGGTGTATATAATTGAGCTTGTGTATGTTCTTTTCGAGCATTTGTTGCCCATGCACCAGAAGCACCAGTCGATTTAACATGTAATACTTTGTTGTTGTTGTTGTTAATCGTTGGTAAGTTGTTCGAGAACTGTTGAAATTTCCTTCGTTCTTCTACTTTTACTGGACAGCTTGGACTACCAGCCATATGGCTTTGACCACAGTTTGCACAGCAAATTTTGTTACTACAGTTTGGATTAAATAGATGGTTTAAACCACAACGAAAACATGTTGGCTTGTCCTTATGTGGACAATTTGCTGCAATATGATCGTTGTATTGTTGACAATTGAAACAGCGTAATATTTTAGCTGGAGGAGAATATGGTTGGATCATGAAAGAAGTATTTTCATCATCTAAGAGTAAGCATTTGTTTTGAATGATTTTCTTTACTTCTTGATTTGAAGAAAAATCAATTCTAACTTTTGAAATTGGTATACGATCTTTAACATATAGTCGTTCAACTTTGATGATTGTTGGATACTGTTTTTTAATGTCAGATTCAAATTGTTCTAACTTCCATTGAGCAGGAACACCAATAGCGACAATTGAATATGAAGTTGGTACTTTCGATGGGAATAAAATTTCATAATCTAAAGAGCATATCTGAATTGGCCATATTGTTTTGTCCATTAATCGATCAAATTGTTCACTGCTATTGGCATATATAAGAAAACATTTATTACTACCAGTAGATGTGTAGCGACCATATGAAAGTCCAATGTGACAATGTTTGTTAATATCTTTGATGATTGATAATTCCGATGGTGTACTATCAGCTGCAAAACTAATCCGAAATGGTGGAAACGTTGATCGTGTGGATGTCGAGTTTCCATAGTTTGCTGCAGAATGAGATGTCGTTGGATTTAATTGTTGTTTTTGTTGTACTGATCGAGAGCCAGCGCTATTAAAGTATTGGTTACGAATATTAACCACACGATGTTCAAGTTCAAATGAATCATCACCTTGTTTTGGTCTTTTGGTTGCATTACGTGTTGAATTTGTATTTTGTTCTGTTGTTGGTGTAGTTGCTGAAACCGAATCTACATCTATTTGATTGATATTTGACATATTCGTTCGATGAGGCATAATGCCACTGTTGCTCATCATCAGTAATATATAGAATTAATGATGATGAGTCACGCCACTTAGTATAGTTAAAAACTATACTTTTATTAAGAGGAAAGAAAGACAGCAGACGAAAGCGACTAACCGCAATTACGAAAAAGATCATCTGCTCTTGCTCCATATCGCAATTGTTGATGCATCCGATATATTTCAATCGACGATTGAAAATAGTGAACTAATTTGTCATTGATTTAGTTAATATAAGTTCTAGAAACATGGGTACTTTGTCACATTAAGCACACTCACACCCTTTTCCTGACGGTAATAGAATCTCTTTTTTTGTTTGAATAGTTCATTTAGCCACATACTGATAACTTTCGCACTTTTTTAATCGACTTCTCAGAAGCTATTTCGTACACATTCTTCATGTTGTTCAGGCAAATACACTGATGCCTGGAAGCACGCAAACTGCTCATCTTTCTTCGCTTTTGTGTGAAATTCAATGGTTTGAAGATTTATCATTCGGTAACAGAGTCAAGCATGTGTCCAAACGCGTTGATTTTGTTATGGCATTTCGAACTCTCATAAAATTGGACAGAAAAATTATCAATACACTGTTTCATGTCAACTAAATGTAACTTTCTATGTAGACACAAGGAAACATAAAGTTGAGGACGCGAGTCAAATACGACTTGATTTATGATGATTCTACTAAGACGCAAATGTTTATCAATGAAATAGTGTAATTTTACAGTTTTCACTCATTGAGATTTATTTCTTTTCAAATTTATGACTCCAGCATTATACATGCAACATACGACTCAAAAAACAGTGATATTCATCTCACTAAAATATGGAATCATCTTGTTGTGTTAGACATATGTAGACTAGTTAGTATGAGACTAGTGTATTCTTCTTAATAAACAACTATTTTCATTATGTCCGTAATGATGATTTTTTCAAGTTCGGTCATGTAAAAAATTTAGACTTCTATTGTGAGCAAATAAACGTTCGATCAAATAACTTGAAAAAATGTTTTTCTGTAATTCTACAACTAAATTATCATCATAATTATACTGCAAATTTTCTCAGCGAACAATTTCCTAAATTGTTTCCAACCTGAAAAGACAAACCTGGGCATTCATTTGACGTTGATTTCCTCTTCCACTACGTAGTTATTATATTGACTTCAACTTTCTCAAATAAATCGAGAGAAGAATGTTAACAAAAACCATTCTGTATCGATCATTATCTGATATATCATTCGAATGATTATTAACTTACTTCAATTGTTTCTCATGAGTAATTGAGCAAATTTTATCGAGAGATAAATGACTAACGGAGTAATCAACAGAATTAAAATAGTGTTGAGAAGTAGAATCCGTTTACGAATACTCGATGGTTTTTTGAGTATTCGATGAATCCATCAAGATCTATGAATGTGCACGCTTGTTTGTTCTCAATGCTTACATCTATACATGAAGTTGAACAATGTGCAGCCGACATCAAGTTGGGTATAATACGCACATCACCTAAGAAAAGAAACTTCAAGTCGTAGACAAAGTAAAGCTTTCTGCTTATACAAACCAATTGTGCACGTTTTATCTGCTTCATTGTTGGCTAAAAAGATATCCTTAAGTGAGAAGCTTCGTTGGCTATGTTGCTATTGTCTTCGTTGATATTCTGAAACAAAGGCAAAGACGATAATATCGTGAAATATAAATTATAGTAAGAAACAAACCTTTGAACCGTCGGGCGGCGTCGTTACAATGTATTTTGGAAAATATTTCAATGAGATAATCACAATCTTGATCATTGATTATATCCAACTCGAAAAGAGATTCGATTACACGAAGTGTTCCGCTAAGTGATAGATCACCTCGTAAATATTTCGGAACATCTTCATCAAGGAGAAAATGCAATCTATATCGATCGTTTTCGGATAGACGATCTTGCATTTTGAAGAACACTGGTCGAAAATCAAATTGTTCACTCATTTGATAAAAACAAACTAGGGTCACACTTGATTTTTATTTTCACTGAAAGAAATTAATCAGTCATATTTACAATACGTATAACTTGCATAAAACAATGTCAGATATTATAGACAGGGAAAAATATTAGAAGAGATTATGGGATCTTTTTCTCGCTTCATGAACATAACAACAGTGGAGAGAAGCAACGTTTTGAAAGACAAAGAAAAGCGGCGAAATAATTAGAACACAAATGACGAAATTCATAAAACTCAACACAAGTTATATACTTATGCCTGTATGTCATTGATTCCTTATATTCGTGATTCTTCACGTTGACAACTTCTACTATGTTTTCATCTATTCAAAGATATGTCGGTTCATTTTTCCGACGAACCAGTCATGTTTGAGTAACTGATTTACCATTAGAAGTTCGATGCTACGCTCATCTTTCTTTCTGCCGATTCTGAATCTCATCGGAATTCATGAATGTTAAAGAATAAAATCTGCTGAGACAGAACCGATAAACGTTACAGAGATGAAAAGAAAGGAAAATAAAGCCAACACAGAACACAAGAATAATACGAGACTTTTCTGGCGTTTCAACACTTGTTTGTCTATGTTAAATGAAGATAGTGTGGATGTGGGTAGGAGTGTTTTGCATCCACAAACGAACTCACACAATACCCATACCCCACGGAAACCACACCAACACCCTGACCCACACCCTGATATCGCTGTATTAGCTGATGTAATACATGAAAACATGAACAACAAATTGACATATGGACACGTGAACGACAAGAATAACTTGATGATCAAATTCATCATTTTGTTATTGAACAGAAACAAAAGCTATATCTATCTGATGGAACGTCTTCGTTTATTAAAAGAACATGATGAATTATTAAATTTCTTTGAAAATGAATCAAAAATTAGAACCCATTCACAAGAAAATGATTTTGTTGATGAAAATTTTGAAGATATTCGTGTAGTAGGTGAACATGAATATTTTGAATTAGCAAGTCAACATTATCACTGGGATCGTATGAAAGCTAAATGATCATTGCATCTTAATAAGAAATTACGTTATGAACAAATGAGGGATATATGTAATTGACCATCATATAAATATCTTGTTCAAAATTGGAGATATGATATTGTAGATTATATATCATTAAATGCAAAGATGAAACGACGAAAAGAAGATTGACCTACAAATGGAAAACCACCTTATTACCAACAATACTTTTTCTAGTAGATCAGTCATTCTTTTACGTTTTTTTTCTTTTGGATAAAAAAATAAGCTACTTTTAAACATATTTATTCTTAAATAATAATATTCGAAAACTTAGATAAACTTTTCTTTTGATTGTTATTACATAACAGAGAGAGAGAGAAAATACCGAAGCTAAACAATGGTTTATCCTATCGAAATTCTATAGAAACGAAACACAAAAACCATTGTTCAAACAATAAATGTAAAGAAATAAGATTTCGATCTAAATTAAGCTGCAATCCTTCCTAATGCTTGTTGTCGTTCTTCCACTTCTCGATGAGCTATTCGACGACAAAACCATTCCTACAAATAGACAACAAATCTGAATAATGACAGAACATAAAAACTATACTAACATGCAAATCAAGAAGAAATTTGTAATCGCTCTTATTTCATTGTTTTGCAATTTCTTTAAGTTCTGTGCGTTTCAGATAATTGTTTATTGCATAATCTAAAGGCAAATGAATTTTGAGTAAAACATATACAAAACAAATAAACTTATATTGATGTAAATATTCCATTTGTCCATTAGTTAGTTTTCCTTCTATTTTTACGAGGCCTAAACTGAAAAATTTCGTTATGTATGTAGATTTATCAATCTAAATCATGATGATTTCACTGTCGTATATTATAGAATGGATTGGATTTTGTTCTGTACTCGGCGATTAAGACTCAATCATGATTACTCAAAAGTCATTTTCGAGTTTGACATGATTTTTTTGTTGCTGTTCTCTACAAATTCAATATCAAATCTATCAAACATTCAAATCAGACAATCACAATGATGAGAGTACTGCCATTTCTACTAGTAGTATAACAAATCTTTATCAAAAGATTTATTTAATATATAAATGGGATGTTTTCGATTAGAGTAAAATTTCATTATTGATAAATGAAATGTCTCTCCTTTATTAGCAAGTTTGAAAATGAGATCATCATTCAAATGTCAAAATATCTACACATTAAGAATCTTACTTTTTACTGTCGCTAGTGCATTACGAAAGTAAAAATGACCAGTATCTTTGATTAATATAGAAAATGAACAAAGACATTGTGTTTAGATATGAAATAGTTATGATTTAAATGATGCTGTTTCAAACACTGAAGACAGTATTATTAATATTTGACAAGAAAACAGACAACAATATGAAAAAGACATGTATGACTACTTTTTAAGTTGAATTAAGCGAACAGCAGTTAAAGCCTTATTTATTCCACAAAACGACTACTTGTAGCACATCCAATAAAAAAAACTCTCAACTGAACTATCGTAAGCCGTTGTAAGAATAATTTATAGCAACTACATGAATGAAAATATTCTCAGTTAATGATTTCTATGCTTGGATTGATGATTTTTATATCAACTTATATACGTCAAATAAGAACATAAAAAACCTAAATTGTCAAGAAAACAAAAATGTCGAGTTTTTTGTCTCATGAATAGATATAACTGACGAATATGACCTTTGATATATGAATATTTCAACTGTAATACAAGGACGGCGATAGTGAGAGGAGAGAAAAAAAATGAATGGATATGCTTATATTGATTATCAGTTAATATCTATTGTGAATAATCTTTTAGCTTTCGTTTTTTGATTTTGGGGTGTGGGTATGAGTGTTCGTGTTTTCTTCACCCACAGCCACACACCCATAACCACAATAAGGAGTACATTTGTCTGAACTAATTATACAATTAGAGTATTTTAGAAAATTTTACTTTATTGTTGATGATATTGTTTTATTTAAAAGCAGATGCGGATAAATTCAATACATAAGCATTTCTGTAAGATACGAACATTGAATACATATAAAATGGAAAAGTAGTCACGAGAAATAATGTTTCAATAAAAGATACAACTTAAGAGACTAATAAGACAACACAAATACATTTATTATTGCTCGTTTAAAATTATTATAATATAGAGAAAATTGAATATTTTGTAAAAAATAAACAAGAAAACTTTTTCAGATAATTCAAGAGAATTAAAAAAGCGCGTTATGATAGATTTGTGCTAAAAAGTAACTTTTCAAGTGAAAAAATAAAATTTTATATATGTACAGGGCAATATTAAAAAGCCATTATTAATGAGATCAGCATATATACTTTGATAAAGTCAGTTTTATAATATTACCATGTGCGCAATAAAATTCCCACTTCGTTTGTTCCATAATTAGTGACGGCGATGTCAAGCCAATTATCATTGTTAAAATTACCGACAGCTAATCCATATGGTTCACTGTTTGCTCCAGTCGAAAACTTCTGTTGTAATTGAAAAGTCCCATCCCCATATCCCAGCAAAATACTAATAGTACCTTCGATTGCATTAGGTACCACTATATCCAAATGACCATCACTATCTAAATCAGCAACAGCAAAGAAATAATTCCAAGTACTATTTCCTACAGAAAAAGTGGCCTGTGTACCAAACACTCCATTTCCATTTCCCAGAAAAATGCCAACATTATTATCACCGCTATTAAGAACAGCGATATCCAGATAGCTGTCATCATTAAAATCAGCAACACTTATCCAGCTCGGTTTGTTACCAACGAGAAAGGTTGTTTGTGCTTGAAAGGTACCATTTCTAATACCAAGAAATATGCCTATCTTGTTAGTGCCATAGTTAGCCGTAGCCAAATCCAATTGATTATCATAACTAAAATCACCAATAGCAACCGCATATGGTCGACTACTGCTTCCGGTTGAATATGTATCTTGGATCTGGAAATTTCCATTACCATTTCCTAGAAACACACCCACTTTGTTAGTTCCGTAATTGGCAACTGCAATATCCAATAGATTATCGTTATTGAAGTCACCGACGGCAACAGCATTGGGCTTGCTATTAGCTCCAGTTGACATATTGTTTTGTGCCTGTAAAGTTCCATTACCATTTCCAAGAAGAACAGCAATATTCGAACCGCGATAATTAGCAACAACGGTATCCAGTCGTCCGTCATTATTGAAATCAGCAACAGTAATGGCCATCGGTTCAACATTGTTACCAACTGAAAATATTCTTTGTGTCTGAAATGTGCCATTTCCAGTTCCAAGAAGCACACCAACACTGCTATTATCATAATTTGCAGTCACAATATCTAAGTAACTGTCGCTATTGAAATCTCCAACTGTAGCTGCATTTGGTCCGAGAAAAACTGTGGTAGTGTATGAAACCATTGGTTCAAAGGCAAGTTGACGCACTGAACCTGAAAAAAAAAGAAGTTTTAAATTAATTGTAAGTCAACAGCATTGTTTTAATTTAAAGATCAAAAATATTTAATACATTGATTAATTATCACAGGTCATCTTGCTTTTTTATTATCCATAAGCTATTTAGTCATAAGAATAACAGGAAATACTGTGAAGTTTTTCTTAAAGCTGAAGATCATGCAGGTCTATTTTTGATACATGGTTCTTTTATGCTGACGTAGGTGAAGTACACTATTTATATAATATCAACCTTTCCCAATGTTTCTCTATAAAAGACTTTGAAGTTACCTTTTTTCAAATATACTAAAGAAAAATATCAAGAAGTCTGAAAGATTTCAACTTGTTGTCCTTAAATATGGGCGAAACGATTCTAACTGTACCAAGAGTAGACACGCGGCAGAACTGAATGTAATGGCGGTTAGTTCCGCTCATGTCTAACTGAACCTTAAAGAAGGAGTGTATTATAGATTCTAAGGATTATATTATACTAAGAAGGCATTTCAAACTTAAGAAGTTAGTAGCGAATTATTTGAAATCTCTACTGACAAAGTTCATACCAATGTCAGATCGAGGTCTCGAAAAAAAATGATTTTGGTCACATATGATTGTCCCACTTGCAATATGTTTCTTGGAGATTTCTCAAACATCAAAAGTACTAGAGTTTATGTGACAGAGGTAAAATAGTATCGATCGAAGCAAATCATAAAAATCTAGTGCTTCAACTATCACCTGCTATAGGTAAGTTTTAATAAAAATATGAGCTGGTTTTAATCTAAGAACCTGATGAAGTAGGCATCATCGCAGCGAAACCAATGGTCATTAGATTTACATGTTTGTCAAGTATAGAACGGTCTATATAATTTCAATTTGAGTTTAAAAGAAAAAAAGAGCACTCAATACAGACTTGCAATCGGTAGGATTTTTTTCTTTACCGATACCGATTTAACCGGTCAGACCGAACCGAACCGGACCGACCGGTATACCAAAATGAGTGATTCTTCACTTTTCTCATTCTATAACTGTCAAATCAAACCCTCAATTAGTCATATCTGCCACTAAATCGCTACAGTAATGATGTTAGAGTTCTGTTTCACAATTATGGCGCTTTTCACTATGTTTTCCCATATGTTTTTTTTCTTGACACCAGTCGATAAATGGAACACTTTATAAAACTTCAGATTGTATATACCAACAATTTCATTTAAGCCCCGATCGCTCACCATAGTGAGACGCTCAATTACAATCTCAGGTTTTCGTCAAATTTGTTGCATCTTGTAGTGCATGTTATTTTACTTATACATCCAAATTTTATCGTTATTAAACGTCTCCCTACCGAGATAAGAGGATCTCTGTAACAATTTTTTCAACGGAGCCTTCTAAGATTTGTATTGGACTACAATGGAAAATTACGTTTTCGACAGATTTTCTCCGAAAAAATGGATGGTATATCACGCAAACATTTCTTGAAACACTACCGAACTAAGAACTGATTGATGATGTAAGCAGTTGGAAATAGAAGTTTGGAATTTCTAATTGAGCTGAATCGGTCGTGGTTTATATTACCTGGCTGGTAAACTTTGTGCTCTGATTGAATATACATCAGATATGGACATTATGAACTTACCGTTTACTTCATGCATTTCACGTTAGAAATGAAAGTGGTCTGGATTTTGAGTAGATGCCTAATTCGAGTTCAAATAAAAATGAAGTTTTCAAAATTTCATAGATACTCGTATGGCTAAAGCCAAAACCAAATCTTAACCCAATTACAAGATTATTAATTATCTAGACTGTCCTGTTCACTCGACTAAAAAGCCATAGATAAATTTGTATCTCAATTATAAACTATAATTATATAGGCAGTCATGTTATAAATGGCCCAAAAGCCAAAGATCAAATTTTAGGTCAATTGCATAGTTATAATTACGACCAGGATAACGTTTGTCACGTATTTTTTCTGCCACCCTCATTCTCACACCCTTACCTTGATTAATCGTTTTGCCCCCATGCTCAGCATCTCAGGTTCTTCTTCCGTACATAAAGGAAAGCTTTAAATGAATTCTAATTCATAATTCATCAAAATATTTATCTTTCGTTGTTTGGCTATTGGAAGAGGAAAGTGCTGCTTCTGTTTTTTTTTCATTTATTTTCCAAATGACATGACGCTGTCAGAGCTTCATTTATGTGCGAATTCGAATTGGGCAGCTCATGTAAAAACCAAAAAGTAAATAAGATAGACGGGTCGATCTTAAATCCCTGCCAGTACCGGTTCCATCTCTGTTCTATGTCGTGTTCAGTTTGGTATTCTTATGTTCGTATAAAGCATATGCTATAAATAGTGGGAAATACAGATAAATCTATGACAAATTACAATGCTACGTAATTATTTGATTTTGTTTCGATAATATAACTTGATATCGAACTGAGTTCATAAATATATTAAGCGTACTATGACGAATTTATACATAATAGAATAGTTTGATGTATCTTTCTCCACAGAAGTAGCCTTCAACGTCAGTAAAAATAGTTTGACTTGCGAAAAAAAATCTGGGCCGGTAGATAAAGAACCTTCTACCGAACCAAAACGGATCAAATCGACCATTTACCCGTTACCGGTTACAATTCTGTCTAGGATAACTGCATGACAATAAATAAATCATATCAAAAGAAAACATGCCCGATATTTTCAAGTTTTCGCTGCTAAATATAGATAAGCATCGCTTTCTAAATTCAAATCTTCTGCGATAATTACGAGCGCAAGAAACCATATTCTGTTTGGAAACAGATAGAAGAATTGGTTTTAATAGAGGAAGTGAGCTTAAAAGTTGATTTTTGAGTACAGTATCAGTATAAGCTGTAATTTTACTCGATACTCATTTCAACACACATATCCAGCTCAGCTATTATAATAGAACACAAAAAACTAATAGCTTATACCTGTGGTCATCGATGTTGTCGTAGCGAGACATTGGGTGAGGAAAATGCCTACTCGATTAGCACCAAAATCACCCAGTGTAGTATCTGGTCGGCCATCATGATTTAAATCGGCAGCATAAAGATAACGAGGTGACGAGCTGCTTATAGCATTCGTGGGAACTATGCTCTTTGACGTGAATGAACCGCCACCATTGCCAAGCAGCATCATAACACTTTGACTTGTCTGAAAACTGACGGCTAGATCAGGAATGTTGTCATCATTGAAATCAGCTGTAACTATTGAATTTGGGCCTTGAGCGGAACCCAATGTTACAGTATTTGCTGTTGTTTGAAATACCCCTCTTCCATCACCTTTAAAAATGCTTAGTGTATTCAGGTCATAATTAGCGACGACCAAATCGACATGACCATCTCGATCGACGTCCGCAGCACATATACTTCGACTACTGACACTTGGTCTCGTCGAGTAATACACAGGTGGTATCGTTAAATTACCACCAGTGGCACCCAAAAATACGGCAACGGATTGATTGCTCGTATTGCTGCTCACTACAGCAAAATCGAGTAATGTATCATTATTGAAGTAGCCACTTATCATATTGTAAATATAACTCGGTTGCGGTATCGTATATACAATAAATGCGTTCTGAAATGTGCCATTACCATTGCCGTAAAAGATTTGAATATTACTACCTGCAGCAGACGCTGCAACAATATCTAAATCAGTGTCACTATCAATATCGGCTGCAATAATAAAGGTTAACCCGGAAGAAGCACTATTGTAGTTAACTACATGTTTGAATAATCCGCCTCCATATCCGATCAAAATACTCAATACGCCTGCTTCACATGCAACAGCCACGTCCAAAATGCCGTCTCTATCAATGTCACCCACTTGAACGGCTGTAGGATATTCTCCTATCGTATAGTTCATTGGAGCTTGAAATGATCCATTACCGTACCCTAACAACACGCTCACGCTGGCACTGGCATAGTTCGGTACGATAAGATCCAAATTGGTATCAGTATTCAAGTCCGCAGCGAACGCCTGGAGTGGCCCCGATTGGACCGTCAACAGTATTTCCGGTTGAAGTTGAACGCGACATGCTCCTATAATATGAAAAAAATCTTCTTAATATGTACATGCTTGAATCATTTTCAAAAGTGATCCATGATAATCTTTTTGAAGCTTTGTCTTCTAGTTCGCGCAACTTTTTAATCTGTTAAGTTATTCCATTGACCAGTTATAAATGTTTTTATTAGCTCTACTGAAACATTGTTTAATGTAAACGAGTGAGCTATCTTAAAGTGGTATTGTTTGCAAGTTCTACTATCTTAAAAATCCGCAAATTAATTTAACTGGCTGCTTCGAATACATAATAATCATATATATACGTCTGTAGATCTATTTTGCCATCTATTTTATCGACTGCAGTTCTAGGGATTCTTTAATATTATATAACTATTATCATACATACCTAAATCTCCTAGATCCTCCCGTGGATAAAAAATGGGTATACATATGATAGTATATGATTCTATAGACCCTATAGATCCTCTTTCTATATGAAATCGAGTGTTGTTTTATTCGGTAAATTTAGATTGAAATTAAATAGACCATTGTATGGAAAATATAGAGTATATAGGGTAAGTCAGGTTATTTAAATTTTTGTGTGTAAGGATGAGTTATGAGGATGTAGTCGAGGACGATATGGTGAGATGCTGTGATTATTATGAACGTGTTTCCTTTCTTTATTTGTGTATGTAGAGATTTTGCCTGCATGATGGTCTAGAAGACAGGTTGCTTCTCTTTAGACCTACTAAAGCCGCATAGTTTGGGAAAAAGAGGCATGTTTTTTGTTTTCAAAACTCAGTTTCAGATGAAAAATATCATAAACTCGTACCAACTGTTGACGTGACTAATGTGCTACTTGTTGTGCTGATCCTTGTGCCTCCTGTTGTGCTACTTGTTGAGCTGATCGTTGTGCCTCCTGCTGTACTACTTGTTGAATTGATTATTGTGCTACTTGTTGTGCTGATCCTTGTGCCTCCTATTGTGCTACTTGTTGTGCTGCTCCTTGTACCTCCTACTGTGCTACTTGTTGAGCTGATTGTTGTGCTGATCGTTGTGCCTCCTGTTGTGCTACTTGTTGAGCTGATTGTTGTGCTACTTGTTGTGCTGATCCTTGCGGTACTTGCTGTACTAGTTGTTGAGTAAATTGCCGCTTTCGATGATGATTCTAGCCAAGAAGAAAAATGTTAACAAAAACTTATTGATATGAACGTGCTGCATGAATGAATATATCAAAACCTCATGATCTCGATTAACGTTTCCTTAGTGAAATATGGGTTTTCTGGTAAAGAGAACAATCAATTGACTATAAATGTATCTATCAGTGTCCTACACGGATATAACTTTTCGCAATCGGACCTGGGTCGGTATTTTTTTTATATGTGACCTGAAGTAGATCCGGATAACTTTATACTTTACCGGACATTAGACAGATATTTTCACAGTCATATTACGATTGGAAAGCTCATATTTTATATGAAAAACTATACTATTTAGTCCGATTCATAAACACTAATAAAAAAAGAGATCCTCCCAAATTCCACAAAGAACAATTGAATCAAGTGATTCATGATTCATGATTCATTTGCTATCTTTCTGCTTCTAAAATCCGACCAATTTCGTCAAGTATACGTTTGTTTGTTGCTGATTATCTTGTAGTGGAACGCAGTGATGGTGTTAAACATCATAATTATGGACACATACATGAATGCTTTTCTATCCCGATAATCGATGTTCATCTTTTTGATAATTCCTTTTTCTTTTTATGTATTCGATTACTACCTCATATGGTTCATTATCATCTGTAGATGAATCTTTATTAAAAATGAATTCTTTTAGTAAAACTATATCGCATTCTACTCCTATGCTTTTATACAAGTAGCAGTTCGAAAAAGTAAAAATATTTTAAAGCGTGGGGATCTCATTAGTTGTTGGTTCGGGTATGATATCATACCGGCATCGGAACCGATCCGGTGAGTTTGCAGTGGGAACCCGGTCGAGTTGCAGACATTCACACTTATAATCTGTAGAAAAAAAGACGCGACATGGAGAGATATTAGTGAAACATTAATTGACTAAGAGAAAACGGGTCACTGCGCGTTGACATAACGTTCCAAAATGTGTTATGAATCTTACCGGATGAAGAAGTGTGTTGTTTACTTTTCCAATTAAAATAAACACATGAGACCATCACAGGAATCAGTATGAGTACAAACAATGAAAATCCAATGATCAACTTGTTCACAGACTTCATTAAAAGATTGCTTTTCTTTCGTGTTACCGAACAGACACAGTAAAATCTAGAAGATAAACAAGGAGAAAAGGAAAACTGAATTCAGAATCTTATTGTTTCAAATTTTGGAAAATACTACAGAGTTACATCGCTTTTATGATAAAGTAAAAAATGTATCCTAAACCATTATGAAAATATAAGTTTCAAGTTAGTTGGTCTCATGCAAATGATGTTGCTTATTTAAATAAATGCTTTAAGGTGCTCTGCGATTGATTTACTAGCCTGCACTCTAAAAAATAATAGGTATCCTCGAAAACCCATAATGTCCATCATATCGAAACCTCAAATATCCATTCGGAAACCCAAACAAAAGGTTTCCAAATGCAGAAAAGCCTCTATCAAACTACACTAGATAGGAAGCCATCACTTCTCTACCAGCAGCAACAAGCATCTAAAGCGGCCTCAGACATTCGATGAGACTCTGCTGTGAACCTATCTGCACTCAGAAATAACTATAATAGCCATCAAAGATCGGTAGCACACGGTGTTCAGAGAAAAACTTTCATTATCCAGGCGCCCTTCCTCGCGCCATTACCAAACCATCAGGAGGCTAAACACTACGATCTTCTCTACCTAAAAAACGAGGAAACAAATCATATTTTTCGTCGAAAAATTATCTGAACTCATCAGCTTTCTTCCCGTCCTAACCTATTCCGATGTAAAACACAATTGAACCATAATAGTTACTGAACAAATTTCATAACTAACCAAACATTTCCCTACAATTATCTTCTAAAACTAAAAATAAAATTATATTTTAATTGAATGAATTGATTCAAACTCGCCGGATTTATTCATATAGAAAACGAATCTAGAAATAAAAATGAAATTGTATTTTAAGTTAAGAAATTGATTCAAACTCATCGCATCTATTGATATCACACGAATCTAAAAAGAAAAATGAAATTTCATGTTCGTTCAATAATTGGAATGAACTCACCAGATATATTGATATATATGAATCGAATCTTAAAATAAAAATTAAAGATTGTATTTTTATTTAATAAAATAAATGAACTCACGTTTTCTTCGATATTCAAAAAAAATCGATAAATTAAAATAAAATTTTATTGTAATTTAATATTTGGAATAAAATCCCGGGATATATCCTTATATAAAACTAGGCTAAAAAGTAAAAGTGAAAGTATGATTTAATTCGATTAGTTGAAATAAAACTCACCGAATTCTAGGGTCGTATTATGATGGAAAAAGAAAAATTGGAATAGTGTTTTATTCTTGAAAGTTGTTAAATGATCGATTGATGTTGCAAGGTTTGCATAAAAAGATTTTAGAGGACATGACTAGACCACTTAATTATTCAATATTGTACTAAAGGAAGAAATGTTTTTATGAATATCGTTTAAAATTTTCCGCAGTGTGGTATTATAAACCTCAAAATGAAAGCTGCTATTTAATCTGTTGGAAATAAATCTCTCAGAGAATACAGTAGTTAGGGGAAACTTTTAAGCTACGTTTAAAAAAATAGGTAATTAAATGGAATTTTGAAAAACAGTTATAAGTTAATAAAAAAGATCGCTTTTTATGTAGTTCATTTCTTCTGCAGCTTTGTCACCCACGATAGCTATAATTTAATTCTTAAATTGGCGAAATTCAACGAAAAAAGGAAGAAAAATAAGACTTGTACTAATTGTCTAGTTTATTTGTTTTGTTCCTGATTTGTTAACATCGCATCTTTTTTCATATTCTCAAAAATTAGATCAATAGTAAAATGCACAAATAACATTTCATTGTTTCAGAAGTACGATGTGGCTTCAAATTTCATAGAAAGATTCACTGAGGAAAAAAAGCAAAAATTTTGAATAATTCAATAAGAAATACTAATTATATCGGTATTTTTCTTTTTAGTAAAAATCTTCGAAGCCGAGTTTGAGAAAGAATATCGATAAATAAGGTTCCAATGCACATCTTTTTCTTGTGAAGTTTCCGGATGTCAATCACGAAATTGATGAACATTAAAGAAATGTTTAAATATTCGGAAACCCTTCAGAATGTTCAATCAAACTTCGAAAACCTATCTTCGCTTCCTATGATACCATGTTCAAATTGTTTTTTTTCGGAAACCTTTCAGAAAATGAAAAGGTACTTTTGCATACCTCTTCAGGTACCAACCCAGTTTTTCTGGTAATATGGGTTTTCGACAATATTTTTCCGGTTCACGAGAAAACTATTGGGTTTGCGATAGCAAGAAAAAGGTATTTCAGAATACTTTTAG